GTCGAAGATCAAATTCTTTTGAGCACGCATTTGATAGTTATACATCTAGGCGATCCAATCCATATGCCACGCAAACACATACGTCGTCCAAATGTATGAATGAATAATAAATTAGGCCCGCGAACGACGAATTTGGAATTTTATCTGTTGTTGTTTTCGCATTGAATTCCAAGCCCACAACGAATTCTCCGATTCAATTAGGTAAATTACTGGCACGGTTCATCATCATCATCATATAGATAAAACACTAGAAGGACACTAATACATTTCCGTGATGGACAGATACGGTTTGTGTGAACCACAACCTCCACAAGAACAAGACAAAAGCCATTAAACGATCATTTTTCTGTATTTAGTTGAAATTTTTGTGCAGAAATGCAATTTGAATTTTATTTATTGTTGAGCTAAAAAAGAATTTAGCTCACACATCAAATATAGAGAGAAAAAGACGAATACAAATTCGAAACTAAATTGCCATAAACATTCATCTAAATTGACACACATCCATTTAAATAGGCATTCACGCGGTCTAAGATGAACTCCGTCGCAAAATCATGTTTTTTTGCATGTTTAGAAGAGTGAGCCGTTATAAATTCAATCATTTACCATATGACCGCCATTAAATTAATCATGTAAATTAAAATAAACAACTATGAACTTTTCTATGGCTGCCCATATCTTGTTCATCACTTATTCTGTTGATAAAATGGGAAAGTGGCATTTCTTCTTTTTATTTTGTTACTTCGAGCTCTTTGTGTTTGAATTTGTAGATGGGTCGAACAAGGATTTTGGCTCGAGTTCAGTAGCGCAAAAACACAGCCGCACATCTGCTGATGACTATAGTCATATTTATAAAGCTGTCATATCGATTTCATTTTTTGAAAACCGAACCTACGCTAACAAAATATATATGTGGCGCTGTGGTCAATACGGGATGGTCGCCATCTCTTCATATCTAATACTGGCTCAACTCTTATAATTGAGTCGCAGTAGAGTTGCGTTTGAAAGCGGAATAAAATCGCCCATTGGCAAAATTTTGTTTTGACAAAGCGATGTCTTTAATCGTTTTTTAGCCTTCACTCACTTTTGTTTGCGACTTTTTTCGTGAATATTTCAAACTCCCACATTTTTAACATTTTTCACTACGGGAAAATTGGAATATAATGATGTGGTGTTTGTGCGGGCACAAATTGCCAACGGCATCACTTCTTCGTGTGCTCATGCAATTATAGACCTTATTTTTTATGAATAATTTGCTTGAGCGCTTACAAAAAACCGATTAAATCTAGTGACTTGGGCATCTTCATCGAACGTCACCGCTGGGTGCAAGAAAAGGTGAATATTCGAAATGACCTGGCATTTTTTGTTGCAATTTGCATTGAAAACCCTAAAAATCGTGTAAAACTTCCAACACAGCAGATACGCACACATGCACATAACATGCATCTCTTTGTGTTACTTTGGCATTTTGACAAGTGTTCAAACTGCCAAGTAAATCCAATTAAATTTTGGCGTCGTTGTATTTGTTTTCGCTAGTTTTACGTTTAATTTATTGTGATTGATCCAATAAAAAAAAGGCGTTGTACGCAAAAAACGAGCACATTTTAGTAGTTGCCAGTGAATTTGATGGGAAATAAATCAATGCTCAACATGTAGAATAACCTCGGAGTACACGAACAATAACTAATGATTAAATGCTCTCTCGGTGCCGGGACTGCCAACCGATTGATGTTTTTCATTTGTCCTTGGCCTTTGCTTTGCGTATATATCAGAAAAATAAAATCAAACCACCAGCTATTTATTTTAAACACAACCGACTATCATTTCTGCTTTGATTTGGTTTAGGGTTATTTTATTTGCCACCTACAAAATTTTACCATTTGACTTCTAAATTTATGAATTTTTCATCTGGGCATTTGGCGAGAAACAAAATCACTCTTTAAGTATATTTTTCTCTTCTCTTCGTTCGTTTTGTGCGCTTTGTAACGAGGTAACGAGTGGGTGTTCTACTCAAATCAGGCAATAAATTTTTTGCAGTAGACTAGCATAGTCTAAATACTCTGAATGGGTTGAAAATCATAATATGATAGAGAAAGACGAAGAAATTGTAGCTACTAAAAACGGACCAGTAAGCGTAATAAAAAACGCAAACGAAAATTATTGTTATTATTATGGAAAAGGCAAACGTTAAATTTAGTCATTTTATTGGCTGTTGCCTTTTTTATGAACGAACAAAAGAATCCGAACCAACGTCACACAGTTTACAATGAATATGGGATGCTGGTATAGCATTAGCTCAAATCGATGTCAATGTGTTGAGATTCACTTTGAATGAATAGAAGGCTGCTATTGCGTTCCCGTTTTTCATTCATCGAAAATTGCCGTTGAACTTTTGTAGAGCGAAAATGGGTTGCAATTACAACAGGATCGCACAACAGACTGAATTCCAATTCAATTAACCTGACCCATTGGTCAATGCCGATGCCATTGAACAAATAGACAAGCATCGACTTAATGTGCAATTTTTTTTTTATTTCTATTATTACAGTTCCACTCGTTTCCGATTACCATTTGTGTATTGTGTGGTTGTGATGTTGAATAAACAATGACCATGATCACTTAATATGAGACAATTAACAGACAAATGATGAATAAAAAAAAATAAACTACCGATAACGATCGATGCTTAAAAAATGGTAACAAAAACTCAAGTTAATTCACAAATGTAGCCGCTTCAAAGAGAAAATCTAATGATCATAAATCAAATGAAACAAAAGAAATACAAATACAGTGAATTAAGCACATACACACACACACACACACACACACACACACGAAATATGCGCACAAAAGCAATGAACATATCGTTCGTGTAAATTTAATTCGATTGAATTAAATTGCACTGAGTTACGGCAATTCAGCATAGAGGGAGAGACTAATCTGTGAGTTCGATCGAAATGAGAAAAGAGAAAAAAATAAAAATAATTGTCGGAATCGATTCAACCAACCCACAACACTCTCGTATTCATATATATATATATATATTTATATGTATATATTAATTGCATACAACAAACATCGGATGAAACGGTCATGTGTAGGCATCTCCATTTCGGTAGAACACACAACAAAAATAATAAAATAATAATAAATAACCGATGTAGCACATCTTTTGTTACTACCGCGCGGCGCGGCCAACCGAATCCGTACTCTCAACTGTTGTGGCACTTTAGAGAAGGCGTCAAATCCAATTTAATCGCGGATCTACTGCCGTTTTTTTTTGTTCATTTCAACCGACTCTTCCGATTAATGATTGTTTACATATGTTTCAGACGCCAGCACGTGACCTATAATTTTGACACAGCGAACTCAATAAACAATTATGCTTTTGTTTTCCAGTATCATTGTGCGATGCATTGAGATTCTAGACAGAGCGCAAAAAACGCGTCCAAAAATCTCGACACGGTCACATATTCAAAACTCTTCGCCAGTAGATATAATTAGTTGCGCATGTGCATTAAACCATCCTTCTAATTGGCAAAATGTGTGTTCGCCGAATCAGCACCGGTTAGTGTGATTTCGGCTATTCGCAAATTATGAACCATTTGCTTCAGTGCTTTCCTTTTTTCAATGTCTAAACACTTTCGGAATAAATGTTCAGCGTTGACGGATAAATTGCGTTACAAACACCGAAAAAAACAACAATGGGGCCACAGAATATAGCCGAGGTTTTACCATCACAAAATCGTGTATTCTATTCTTATTCTTCTTCTTATTGGTCTTTGTTTTGTTATTTTCGGGTTTATCGGTTTGGTTGTGGTAGTCAAGGACATTTCTAAGACACATTCCAATTTTGTTGCTTGTTTTCACATACACACAGAGAGACCGCGTTTTTTGCCTGAATCCAGTTTTACGATTCTTAAGTTTGTGCAGGTTTTCATGGCTGTGGCAATATGAGCGCGTTCTTCTATCTGATTTTCGGCTGAAGAAAAAGAAGAAGCAACACAAACGACTATAAAATTGTATGGTTTCTGTTAATAGCTGTTTCGTGTATGCCTATGCTCACATGTCTCCAAAATACGACGGACGGATGTTGGGTTTTCGGCTTTTTGATTGTTATTGATGTTGTTATTCAAAAGTCCTTTAGTATGTCTTCTTCTTGGTTTCTTTTCCATTTCGTACGATTTGGCGGCATATTTGCATCTGCAAGCCATAAAATACGTCTGCAGAAGTGTACTCTTCCAGACTCGAAATGAATATAGATCATTATCACAACCCCTATAACATTCGTTGAATCGCAATTCAAGCGAAAACTAAATCAAAACATTTTTTTTTCTTCTGTCTACACTGTCTATAACTTGTTGTTGTTCTGGGTCGTGGTTTGAATCCTTTTATATTTGCTTAATGCATTTTATGTTAAGGTATTTGCATTTTTAATGGTCGCTCGCTTCAAAATGGTTTCAACCATTTCAACGTTTCTTGTATCAACGCCATGTGACGTTGTTTGTTACAAAAAATTCTATTTCTTGCATTTTATTTAACAGTTTTTTTCGTTATTCGAAGAAATTGGACAATTGATTACATTCAATTGACCTAGTAAATGGCATTTACACCATGTCGGTGTAAAAACACAGTTTTATCGCAGTAAACAAAGTCTTGGCCCCGTTTTATGCTCGCGTGTTTTGTTCTGATATCAGAGTTGTGTTCACATTGTTTTTTCCATAAGTATTAAATCGTAACCAATTCAAATCACGCTTATCGCTTCGGTGTATCATCATATGAAGTGATTCTAGAAAACTACGTTCAATGACCATTTCTAAAGGAAATATATTTCTTACGAAATCAAAACCAAATGCAGCTAGTTAATAAACTCTAGGGCTCTCAGAAGTCACAAGTTATAAAATGAATAATTTTGACTTAATTAAATTTCATATACAATCCATTCATTCAACGTTCGAATCTTTTCTAAAGTAAAATTTCTCTTTTCTTTTTCTTTGCAGATACACAGCATATATAGAGACACGGATCGTGATTTAATTTGGTGATTGAAAAGAATGAAATGATTGAATTGTGACAAATAGTGGCCTTCCAACAACCAAACAACACGAATTTGAAGTACAAAAACGAATTAGAAGATTTTCCTGATTGTTTCGATTTTACACGTAGACGTTTACGCTTGAACACGGTAATCGGTAGTCAAAGACGGAAAGCCAAATTGAATACTAAAAAAAACGAGGAACGAATTAAGAGATTGTCAGCGAGTTAACGTTCGTCAAAAGCATTCTATTGTGTTTGGCCAAATTGAAGTGGTGAAAAATTAGTGTATTTACATTAAACGCCATAATTTCCAGCCATTTAAATCGTGTCTTGTAAGAGGAAAAGCGTGACAGTATACTTTTCGTTGAGCACACGCGGTTTATTGTGCGTTGGCCATTGTTGTCTGCAAAGAAACACACACACGACATTACCAACGGTGTACGGATTTGTTTGAACTTGCGCGTTTCGAAGTAACAAATTTGATTGTGATCTATTTCGTTCGATTGGCATTGAACCGCTGTGTAGTGTGTATCCAATAGTTTGAAGCAAAATAAATATATTATGTACATATACAATCATTTCAACGACAATATGAATGGAGTTCCAATATTGAATGTGGATATGGCCACAACGACTTCCGCGGCAGTTGTTCAACCAACACCGTCTGTAACAAACACATCGAATTTAATGGTTGGCACCGCCACAACAACACCACTTACACCTGAAATTCTAAATTCTGTGATGGCCATGACAAATCCACTCGAATATTCATTTCCATCAACCACCACATCAAATCCATCGACCAACAAAGTGTCACAGGTAAGGCTGTAAACAGTTTTTTTCTTCTCAGTCTCAAAACCACAATAACAATCAAAATTCACCAACTAGTTAATCTTCAACTTTCAACCTTTTGCTCTTTGACCATTTATATTGAAATTTTCTCATTTTACAAAATAAAATTTGAATTTTTATCGCCGGATTACCGAACACTTTGATTGAGTTAATAATCTTAATGTGTTGTTGATGATACACACACGTTTAGTTTAACCAATTAAGGCTGGGGTTTGTTTTCTCTCTCGAAAAATAAAACGCCGACAAAATGCAGTAAATGACAAATTGATTGAATGAAATAATAGTTAAAACGAGTTTCAGTCCAATTGGCCCTTAACAATCGAATCAATCAATGTTTGCAAATGGAATTCATTTTGTTTTTCGCTTACAAATCTGTTCATGGTCAAAATCGATGCCATAAGCAGGAACCAAATTTAACGCATATTTCAATATATTGATTCGAGCTTCTTGAATCGTGCTAACACATTAAGCATACAACTATTAATGAAGTTAAACGATTCGAATTATATGGTTGACATTTTTGAATAAATCCAATGAAATTATCATAGTCAACATTTGTGTGAACGTGTAATAAATTTGCATAAGTTTCGTATTTTTTTTCGATGAAAATTGGTTTGTCTGTCTGTCAAGTGCATGGCGATTTACACGCATAATATTATAATCTGCTCAATTGCATCCATTACGACGACAACGACGATGCGATATATAGTTGGTTATTTTTGCATGTCGCATAAATTAAACCGTGAAATTCCTTGCATTTTTCTAAATGCGACGGCATTCATGTGTGGATTGAAACATTCACTTGCGTGGCAGGCAATCGTACATCTGTCTCGTGTAAATTAGCAATGCATTGGCTCTTAATTCTCATTTGTCCAATGGAAAACGCATCATTTCACTTGCGGCACATTTTCGTGCACATAGAAAACACAACGTTTTAACGACAATGCGTCGATGGAAATTGGCGCGACGAATCAAATGTCTTATTTTTTGTGTGTATGCATATTCAGTTGCAACATCATTGTGAATATGATTTATGTGAAAAATGTCTCGTTTTTATATCAGATTCAAATCAAACGCGAATAAAGCCATAAAAAGTGACATTTAATTGTTTGCAAGAGGATGAACTATTTTTTTTCCGTTCCTTTGAAATGTGATACCTTTCCACATGAATGAATTAATTGAATCGCTGCAAAACTATTGATAAGCACGCAATCGACACAAGGTTTCTAGGTCGTTTTCAGCACCCGCTAAGTTAAATCAATTTGATTATTTGCTCACTAAGTAGTTTTCGAGTATGTATCTAGCGTTGGTCTTTTTTTTTCTTTTTCTCTCTTCTAATTAAATATGCGCTACGACGGAAGAAAAAATGGTTTCGTTCGCGTCACTTTAGGCAATTAGCAACTCCTTTGTCTCTCATTAAATTTCAAATTCTTTTTTGTTTACTTTTAATTAGGTTAATTGTAAAATTCTTTTTTTCTTCTCTTGTCAACAGAAGTCAGCCGATAGTCATTCCAGTAGCTCAGGCTCACCGTTCGATTCGCTGTTGGCCACAACACCAGCCGGACCACCCATCATTGTCAAAGAAGCAACCACACCAACTGTTCAACAGGTGTATATCTCTATTTGATAAACTATAAAAAGAAACCGATTATTTTGCATTCGGGGAAACCCATGTCGCAAAAGATTTCCGAAGATCAGTGCGAAAGTATCGCCGAAAAATGGTTTCAATCGAATGTTTTCCGAAGAAGTGTGCGATTTTTTTCGCCTCTGTAACTTAAAATTAGCTTTAGAAATCGGTCGATGTTATAAATAGGCCAACGAATCGAGTATCTCGGCAGCAGAAAATATGAAAATAGCCAAAAATATTTTTGTTTATACGATAAAAACACGAGCTTGTATGCCCGTCGATTTCGTCTAAAAAAACTTATTTATTGTTATTGCTGTCTGAATTTCGGACGGAAAATGCGAAGCATCAGAATATTTACGGATAACAGATGTTCGTATTCTTTACGATAACTGAACGGGAAGAACATTTAGCACTTACATTTTCTACGGTTAATAGCCAAACCACAAATTTATCTGAAGTGTGTGTATGTGCGATGTGCGTGTGTGATTTTTGAGTTTTGTTTTCTCAAATGGAATATTCCATAGAGTTAGACCTCTTAAAAATAATTTATGCGCTTAACTTGCTTGAAGTGAAAGAAAATTACCGTTTCTTCTGTGTAGTGGATTTGAATTTCTATTGAAACACTTCATTTTGATCGATCTGATTTACAAGGATTTAATTGATTCCCAATCGATTCGACAGAAAATGATAAATCTTACTTGTGCCTGCTGTATAAAATAAATTTTCAAAAGACAAGTACAAAACCTGAATGGGAAATTTATAATTGAAAGATCGTGTGATTCTACGTGCTTTCTTGTCAGTGTATTTACAAATTCAAAGCAAATCACATTTTACTCAGAATGAAACAAATTCGAGATTATTTTTCTGAAAATCAAAAATTATGATGAGTAGAAAACAAATATTTCGCATTAATTAAGGTCTTATGGTTTTTCAAACCCAATGCTAATCATTTGTTTTACTATCTATTTCCACAGACATGTTCGCAATTGATAAAAACCAGCCTAAAGTTATCACTTGAGATGAAACGCAAAATGAGCACAAGTGACTCAAGCAGTGTGGATACGTCGATTTGCAAAAAGATCAAGCAAGACATAGACACTAGCGATGATGACGACAATGATGATGATGATGATGATGATGATGATGAGATGGTTTCGAGAAAACCAACACGGTCCACGACTTTCGTAAGTTGTGCAAAATTTTATAATTTCCCCGAAAATTCTTCTATTAAACGAGCACGTATCACTTTAGCTATCTCCGGAAGATGAAGATCGAAGGCGCAGACGTCGTGAGCGAAACAAAATAGCTGCAACAAAGTGCCGAATGAAGAAACGTGAGCGTACCGTAAACTTAGTGAGTGAAGCTGAAACGCTGGAAGCACAAAATATCGATTTGAAGGCACAAGTGCGCAGCTTGGAAATTGAACGTCGATCTCTAACTGAAATGCTTCAATTGCATGCCAACTCATGTACACGAAGCGATGGATTTCAAATACCCAACATCAATGCCAGCATTATGAAGTTTTTAAACGATATCGGTTTACAACAAACGGAAACGTCTACCACAAACAATGACCATATTGTGAAAAATGAAGTGCTATCGAAAACGAGGAATTTTTCAATGAAGACAGCACAGAAAATGCAGAAAATCCCGTCGGTCAATACGTTGAGATTCAATACAAGGCGTTCCAACCAGCAAACCAACAAACTAATTCAACCAGCAACCACAATCATCAGCCCGGTTACAGCAGCAGCAACAACGAGAAATTGCATTAATGCAATTAATCCAACGATTGTTGGAACTATGAGCAATATGTCACCGCTACAGGATTGTAAACCGTTACCATCGATTGATATGGGTTTCTGTGAAGGACGAAACGAAAGCCTAACACCAACAAGTACCTATTGCAAATCACTCATGTCCAGTTCAAGTGATTGTTATGCAATGAGCAGTCCGGACAGTGGATTTATAAAGTCACCGGTGGACATGGCAAGCTATTCAACCCTACCGCAAATGATAAAAAGCGATTACATTCCCAATTGTGATACAGGGATGTTGAATGATAATGGCGCTGCCGATGGTTCGATTGAATTCATTTTAAAGAGTGAATTGGTCGATGTTAATGACAGCCCATACACAACCGTTCAAAGTGCTGATCGCTTCCTATTCGATGGTGTTGCCGAAACATTCGATCCAGATATTGAAACTGGTGCAAATTCCGCCAATAACACGTCATCATTGATTGACACCCAATCGCATATGCATGAGGGACTCAAGGGGCACATGCTACTCCAGGGAATGAATAACAACAACAATTCCAGTCAAATAAATAACAATCATCATTCAAATCTCGATCCAAATGCAAACCATAATATGATGCACAATTTTGGTACGGTAAATTTACCTGTGATATCGTCAGTGCTGCCGCCACCTCATTCGACATCAATCATTGAATTTAATACGTCGTGCCAGCAATTTATCGACAGTTCGTTGCTGAAAGGGGATTTTCTTGGGCAAAATTGTGAATTTCTCGATTCACAATTTACCACCGATTTGGATAGTGGTGTCACTACTTATACCAACAGCAGTGGTTGCCTAGCCTGATGGTTTCCTTTCGACGGCGATTGCGAGAACATTGAATTTTAAGAAACTTTACTTCATTTATACCTCAAAATGCAAAAAGTCAGCTTCACTTCAGTGTAAGAAGCAAATTAAACATGTTTTTCTTCGTTTCTTTATTTTTTCACTAAAAAATTTCCATGTCGCAAATTAATTGACAATTCGATTAAGTTTATTATTATATTTTGTATTTGATTAGATCATAAGAAATCATTGGTTTTGCTTATTAAAATTTGCAAAGAAAAAAGAAGAAAAAAGAGCAGATTGTAAACGGACGCAAAACAACAGGAACAGCATTCCGATGTTTAGATTTTGATTTAAAAAAAGAGATTGGCCACAAATCAGTTTGATGGTAGATTAAACAAACTAATTATTGCACAGTGATAAAAATCCATTTATGATCGGATTCAAAAATGATCCTAGGTTTAAGGTAATTTTGTAACGTTTGAAAAATGAAGAAAACCAATGAAATAGTGCTTTATTTTTAACAATTCAAAACTAGCATTGAAAACACGTTTATTGAAAAACAAGTAAAAATTATGCTTAAATTTTTGGCACATTTTCCGCAAAGCCCATGTGAAATCAGTACAGCTCACCAGACAAATATACCAGTAAATCTATGCTTGCATACGCACACAATAAAGTACAGATAAATCCCGTGTATCAACTCCACTTGTATTGTTTTTTACATTGAAGGGCATTGCACGCACCTTAACATTCACAATACAAACTCAATGCGAGTGGAGACGCCTTATGAAAAATGGCACAGATTGCTAGTGCTAAGGTTTATCTGTACTTTAAATAAGTACAATAATATGAATGCATCACAAAGAAAACTTACACATTTTCAATTCAACTTACGAAAACAAATTGTTTTTTATGAATTGATTACTAATCAATGAAGGCAACAGCTATTGTTTTTATTTTTCAACCGGACAACCTCTTAACATCAATCTAATTAATCCTTTTTCTACACATAATTTTTGCATTTGTTTCGCTTTGTTATTAGAGTTTATCGGGGTTATTGAATATTCTAGTTGACTTAACTCGTCCTTTAAATTTTAGTTCGATCGGACAGCCTCCTATTTTTGTGCGTTGAATGAATAACAATTAATATTAAATATGCACATTTAATTAAACGAAAATAAGAAATTAAGTTCAAGTGTGAAATTTGAAATGAAATGCAATCAAAAGCAGCGACATTGAACATTAAGCCGTGAATATCTGTATCTGGCAAACTATTTTCGAAGAGAAAAACAAACAGACAATTTTAATGATGGTATTCATTTTAAGGCATTCATATGATTTTTTAAAAAAAATATTCCATTTCTGAATTATCTTCCAAAACATTATGAAAATCCCCTAAAAAGTCTTATTATAATTTTTCAAATTAGAATGTTAAACAAAGTAATCGTTTTTTTATCAATGTTTAATTTCTCATACTTACACTTTGTTTTCGATTTTGTTATTTCAAAGAAAAAACTGAATAATTTGTTTAATAATTGTGAGGGAAATGTAAAAACTTGTCTTTGACCATTGTATAGTCTCGCGAAATGTGATATGCGATTAACAATTGTGTGTGATATAATCGAAAATGAATGCATCGCGCCGAAAGTAAAATCAATGTTTATTCGTAAAAAGAAAAGAAAAAAGTAAGTGTTAATCACCAATCAGAACAGAACAGGACAAGATCAGCTACCAAATGTAAATAGCTAGAGCTCACTATCGTCGCTTTTTTATTATTTCCGAATGGCCCTTGATGTAAATAATAGTGTTTCGTTTCCGTTAACCAAATAGCTGTATATTATAAAACAACTCTCGTTTTAAACAAAAAATAACATATAAATAGATATTGTCGTCGAAACTTAAAATAAATGCTACAATGCTGAAAATGATGATGAGTGAACTCTAGTTTATGCGAACTTACAGAACCAACCTTTTTCTTTAGATTTCAATGGATTTGTAATTTAAACATTAAAGAAAAACACTATATTAGTACTTGCTTTTCATAAAAAGAATGCAAAAATAAGAGTATGAAGCCAAGTGATACAATTGTTATTAAATAGCACTGGTTCAATGTTACATGACATGGGGAGGGGGAGAAAAAAGAGTTAAAAATTCGATAAGAATGTTGATTGAATGTGATGGCAGAATATTGAGGTGAAAACGCTTGAAGAGTTACAAAGAATTAAGTTTAATGAATGCATCAGAAAGAATATTGATATTTTGATATTTGATTGAAAATCCGAAACAAAATTTTTGGGTTCATTACATTTTGGAAACTGAACAGTTATTTGTTTGATTTGTGCAAATAGCATTAAATATCCACAATTACCTCATTGAAAGAAAATGACCATCGAAACAAATCTCCGCTGTAAAATTTTCTCTACACAATATTTCTATCAAAGTTCACGGGGTCAAAACTCTTCTTCAGCACTAAATCTATGGACTATTTTCAAAGTACAGATAAATCCCGTGTATCATCTCCACTTGTATTGTTTTTTACATTGAAGGGCGTTGCACGCACCTTAACATTCACAATACAAACTCAATGCGAGTGGAGACGCCTTATGAAAAATGGCACAGATTGCTAGTGCTAAGGTTTATCTGTACTTTGGTGCCCGCTCTTTGAAAATTGTCAAAAATCACCCTTTGAGCGATATGGAGTCGAATTTTGGAAAAATTTAAAAAAGTGAACATTAAATCTGATTTAGTGCTCTCAGAATCCATCGAGGTTACATTTTTTGCGTAAAATTTGAGAAATTTATAGTTTTTGGCGTTTTAGGGGATGAACTGCTTCTGCTCAAACACAGTGGATGACCATAAGTCGATCATTTTTTAAGCAAATTTCAATCTGAGAGTTTATTTTGGGAGCACTAAATGAGCACTGACCCAAAATGGGGTGCATTCGGGGTTGAAAACAAAAATTCACCCCAATTTCACCCCCACCCTTAACCGAAGGGGTTGTGGAGTATATCTGAAATGAGAGCACTAAATCGTGGTACCATCGGATTTCCGATATCTCAACATGGGGAATTTTTTTTTACTACCCCTATTTTCGTCATCCCCCAAAATGGCGATGCCCATAACTCGCTCCCAGTTGAAGCACTAAATCTGAAATTAGTGGCACAAAATAGCACTAAATGAGCACTAAATCTACACATAAGGAATTCGCCATATGCGAGAATTGTCAGGCTGAAGAGTTTTGACCGATTCTTTTGTAATAACATTGAGTTGAAAATTGGAGAAGTTAAAAATCAAATCCATCAAACCGAGATTTGATGTTGATTGTTCGGGGATTTATTTTTCAAAGTGATCACAATTTTCAAATACTAAACTTTGACATTTTCAGCCAAGACCCTATATAGCTAATAGCTAACAGCTAACAGATACATTTGCACATTTTTGACTTGTGCAAATATTTGCGAAGTAAAATCTATTCACAAGTTCGATTTAGAGTTTGTATACTTGTCATCTGGAATACCATTTGAATATGAAACCCTGCAAAACTGCATAAATGTACGATTGTTGCATGTCCGAGAATTGTTATTTAATAAACAAAAAGCACAACGCCACTACATTATTAACAGAACGTGCCTCAGTAAATAGATGTTTCATTGTCTGCAAATCAATAGTGCATTCCCAAAACAAAATGAATTGGACCAAAATGAAAATGCCATTGAAATAAACTATAGGAAACAATGTTGGCCTTGAACGTGTTCGTTCCGAAAGAGAAAATGTAACCCAAATTTCGTTTAAGTCACCACATTAAATTGTATAAATTAAGAACTTACTCACAAATCGAATGTTCTCCACCCTGTAAACGTTTAGGTTCTTTAAATAATTCATAGTTTCGATCACGATGTCGTTTTAAGAAGAAGAAAAAATTCGCTCTTTGTCTCCAACAAGAACAAAAGAAAACTTGAAATTTTATTTACGTTGATGTTGATGTGAAATTTATACAAAAAATGAAGATTGTATCAAACTTAAAAATTGGATCGACAAAACTATGGTTTTATTATATACGATAAGATTAAAATTCACTGAAACAAAACACTAAAATTGATATTAATTTGTTTACATTTTTTTTTTAGATATTCTTTGCAGATGTGTTACAGAAAATAATAATGAGACGGAAGCGCTGTTGGTGTATCAAAACTTGATTTTGATACATCTGAGCGAAATTTTTCTATTTGTACAATTATAATGAAAAAAAATATAGCGGCTAAGTCAACAAACAATGTCTTTTTGCATTTGAAACATGAAATTCAGTACGTTTTCCTTACTTATTATTCTAAATTGTAATAAAGATGCCCAAAAGCCATAATTTACTGGATAAAAATAAATCTATTTGCGTTTTATTTGTCTGGTTTACATAAAAAGACGGTATAGGGTACATATATACTGAGTATTTATCATAAAATTGATTAAATCAAGCGACAGGAATTATTTATTCTTTTTCTCCTTGAAGAACTTAACAAGTGAGCCCTGCACACCGCCATAATTGTTTGGTGCTCGCAATGAAATTTGTATCCAATTGGGAAGTTTTCTCTTGATACGCTCTTGTTGATAACGCTCATCAATCAATAGGACAGTTGCATAGTCATTGATGTGCCGAATTGCTCGACCAATACATTGATTCACGGCTTTCATGCACAAATTTTCATAGTATTCGCTACTTGAAAATGCTACACTTGAATCCATTCTTTTCTCAGCGCAAACTTTATCCAAATATTTCATCTTTTCAGCGAGTTCTGGATTGTTTTTGTTGGGAAATGGCAATCCAACGACACAAACGCAACGTCCCAAATCATCTGAGAAGTTCAAACCTTCACTCAGCTTTCCACCTACGACGCTCATCAATAATGCGCCTGTTTGTGCTCCTGCTTCCATGCACTTGGTGCCTGCTTTCACCGCTTTTGCATAGTCCGACAGAATTTTTTCCGTTTGTTGACCACCCGATCGCGGCTCTTTGAATAGTTTCTTCTTTTGCTGTATCTTTTCGATTGCCTTTGACTGAACCAGGTGATTGTAAAAGTTGTCCAGGTGAAGATACGAGGTAAAGAAACAGACAATACCGGCTGGAACCACGTTGCAAATGTTCTGAATTGCCATTGCCAGGTCAGACATCTGGAATTAGAAGATATAGAAATTGAATCAATTTTCGATTCAAGAAAATACAATAAAATACGAAGTTCATCATACGATATTCTTCCAACTAATTGCCAGCGCCATCTGTTGAGTATTCCCACAATGATCGCGTAGTAACGAAAACTAGCGACTCGTGTTCAATCTGTCACATTCAACTGAACTGTCACAAGTCATCAAAAAGCGACGCATTCGCGTAGTTGATAGACTTGAATCACAACGTTTAGTTCTTTGAAGTAAAATTCATTTTGTTTTGTCAGAAAAAAATTACGAAGAAAAAAATTGAATTAAAATGCCGTACGCCAACACGCCATCAGTGCAAATTACGGATCTCACTGAAGAAAACGTAAAGTTTGTGATTGAAGACACGGATCTCAGTATCTCGAATAGTTTGCGCCGTATATTCATCGCAGAAACGCCAACCATGGCAATTGATTGGGTACAATTCGAAGCAAATTCCACCGTTTTGGCCGATGAATTTTTGGCCCATCGCATTGGTTTGATTCCATTAATTTCGGACGATGTCGTCGAACAAATGCAAAACACGCGTGAATGTTCGTGCATTGATTTCTGCACCGAATGCAGCGTTGAATTCACATTGGATGTTAAATGTGACGAGGAAAATACTCGGCATGTAACAACCGCTGATTTGAAGTCAAGTGATCCACGTGTTGTTCCAGTGCCCTCAAGAAGACGAGACGAAGAAGAAAACGAATATGGCGACAACAACGAGGAAATTCTCATCATCAAACTGCGTAAAGGTCAAGAATTGAAATTACGTGCGTACGCAAAAAAGGGCTTCGGTAAAGAACATGCCAAATGGAATCCAACAGGTAATTACGACTAGACTATTCAATTTCAATAGAGAAAGTAATTGTTAATTGTTTTTTTCTTGGGTTCTAGCTGGTGTTTCGTTTGAATATGATCCGGATAATTCAATGCGACACACATTATATCCCAAACCGGACGAATGGCCAAAAAGTGAACACACCGAACTGGATGAAGACCAATTCGAAGCGGATTTCAATTGGGAAGCAAAACCGAATAAGTTTTTCTTGAACGTGGAATCAACCGGCGCACTTAAGCCAGAAAATATCGTTTTGATGGGTGTGAAAGCTCTCAAGAACAAACTGTCCAATTTGCAAACACAATTAAGTCATGAGCCACAAACTGATGCCTTGGCCGTGGACTAACTGGCAGTGGACTAGCAAGTAACTAGTTTTTGGCAAAATGAAGTCAAAAAAAAAGTAACGGCAAACGCATAATTTCCAATAAAATACATATTTTTTATAAACAGAACATAAGAGAAATAAAAGTGTTAAGACAAACCAAAACGTACCATTTCGTTATTTCCTCGATTTGCATAGTTGAATAAAAATGGTGAGTTTCTAGGTCCCTTATTGACGACAATTGGTAAAATGGCTTCAGCGGCAACGACATGTCCATAGAAGTGTTCTTCGGTTCGTTCTTTGAAGTTTTCGAAAAGCTGCGTCGTGAATTCAGTTGTCGGCTGCATCGTTCCACCAGCCACAATAATCGACCGGCATTCATTCAGCAGTGCTGCAAATGGTTCGCTTGCATTCAATAGCAAATACTTGATGAATGACTTTGATTGAATGGTACGATGTTTTGACAATAAGATGCGGCCATCGGTTGACTTTTCCAGTAACGTTTCGAGAAAACTTAGAAATAAACGAATCACAGATGCTGACCCCAGCCGATTTGTGTTGTCATCTGGTTTTTTTGGCTCAACTGGTACATCTTCAATTGCCTTTGATTTTGGCTTATTCGATCGTTTATCGGAGAGCTGTTGAAGATACGACAAATGGGGGGGTTCTTGTGGTGCAGACACAGCTGGCTTCACATCCAAATTAGCGTACCGCAAGGCAAATCCACCAATTTTTTGGGCTAAGCGGGTTTCTTCACAAAATTTAATGATTTCGAACAAATTTCCGTATGAAATGTTCACTTCATCGAGGAGATCATGTGTAAGCACCATTTCAGATGAGAATTCAGCCTGCAGCTCGGCTTGAGTTGATTTCGATGATTCATTTGGTGATTTCATAATCAATTTCATGAATCGATTGGCCACAGAAATCAATTGATTTAAACGGAGCAGGTTTTTTGTACTGAATCTATCGAGATATTTCGTTTTGTAGGCAATCAACTGTTTATGTACGCGTTGCAATTGGTCAGCAGTGATTTCAGCACTGTGAATGCTGGCGATCGTATCGATCAGATTATGGGCTTCATCTATGATGATAACGCTATCTTTGATCTGAATGTCCAATTGTTCGCGAGTTTTTCGATGCAACAGCATTTGATACGGCAGCATTACAACCTGGTTGGATTAAATCAAAAACAATTTTTATTTTTGAAAGTGAATGGAAATTGGGTTCTATTACCTGTGCATCTTTTGCTGCCGCTCGGGCTGCATAATATGGGCATCCTTTTTCAGTTTTAGCCGTTTGAATCAAGTCCTCAATATCCATAATCGATTCAGTATTATAGAGTGCGGCACGCGATACATTTTCAATGGATGCTTGAGCATAGAATGGGCATGAAGTGCTTTTCGTTTTCACAATTTTCGATTTCTTTGTGGCACGACCTTCTTGATCCGTGTGTGTCGATTGGCAACAGGTTTGTTTTGATTTTCCTTTCTTCATTTCCAGGCAGCGTTCATTGATCAAGGCATTTGATTTTAATGCTCTCACTTCGGGATTGATACAGAGCTGTTGACGTGATGCCAATTGAATGATTCGAATGGCGTTACCTACGGGGAGAATCAGAAAGAAGAAATGAAACTAATAGCAATATAACGAACTGATAGTGGACAATTAATGGAAACAAGTAAATGTCGAATAGCGTTACCATAAACGGTCTTTTTCAGTTCGTTCACCACTTGTGATAATTGCGAATGTGTTCGGCTACAGAAATAAATCTGAAATAGAGTCAATTTTTAGATAAATGCATTTGGTGCATATGAAAGAAGACATACTTTCGTATTGTGAAACTGATTTTCAATCACATCTTCAATGTCATCTTGTTCATCTTCATCGTCCTTGTCTTCGATCACCAATTCATCATCATTATCAACCGGCTTGGCCTCATTCTTGGTGTTTTCTAGGAGTTCGTTTGCGTGTGCCTCTTTGAACTTCCTAACTGACTGTGCCTTCTGTTGATTCTTCCACTTTTTTCGCATTTCAGTGACTTTTTGATCATATTCGTCCATTGCCTTCAATTGCTCCAAAAGCGTATTCAACTGCTTTTTTTGCTGTAGTAAATCATATTGACCGCTCAACCAATCATTGCTTTTGGCATTTTCCAATTCGTTGGCTTTGATATTCTTCTCCATTTCACGGATTTTTTCCATCAAGTCCACCCGGTTGAGTTCATCGTGATCTGATAGCCACTTGAGAGCACTGCACATCAAAGTCAGTGTTTTTCCAGTGCCGGTGGGCGATTCAAATATACCAATTTTGTGATTTTCAATGACTGAATACAATGCCCGCATAAATTGGTCTTGGATAGAATAAGGTGTGAATGGAAACGGAAACGAATCCGGACAACAAGCCGGTCGTGTTCTAACAAACATTTTAAAACGATACACTTACAGACGATCACAAATTTTGTTTACATTCACACTATTGTGAGGTTAAGTTTTCCATGGAATTGACATTTCGCGCCTATATCAACAGACTTTGGCTTTGACATTTTGTAGTGAGCGGTCAGTTTGAAATTGTTTATTCACACAATATTACCTGAATCCCAAAATTTATCCTGAGTGTATCAACCCAGAATGACAACCAACATACCGCTTTACTACCAAAATCTCATGGTGGTGTATTTACCAAAAGCCACAGAGAATGGATACGAGTGAAACAAATGATGGGACCTGTATGGCTTGTAGGTCAATCTTTAGATAATTCAAGGAAAAGAATTTACCTTCCAGTTATATACTTACCAATGTGTGTTATCTATTCCCATTAATGAAGAACTAAAAACAGAATAATTTCATTTTTTCTTTTATTTTGACCTTTTACTTTATTAACTAATTTTAAATGAATGTCCATGATTTTTCGCGGATTTTTATTCTATTTTCAAATTGAGAAAGTGTCCAAACGGATCACAGTTTTGAGTGGCAGTCAAGAGTTTAGATTTTCAGAAAATGTGACTCGTTACCATTTTATTTGATTCTGAGTCGTGTCAATTAAAATGCATCGATTGAGTTTGTGAGTGAAATTTGTGTGTGGTGTTTTAGTATTAGTTTGGTTTTGGTGATTCGAGAGCGGTTCATCACTGGGAAATGATGCCAAAATCAATATTTCAATTAAAGGATACTTAAAAAGAGAATGATCGAATCAATTCAAATATTAATAATATAATCAAATTTTGTTCATTTCTTCTTCTTTTTTTCACAGAGAATAAAACAATTATTATCTCCATCGTCTCTCATTGAAAACATTGGAAAAAAAACTGGATAAAAATCAACAAAATTGCTTTTTAAAAAGAAAAAAAAAACAGAATTACCTTGCTACAATTTTCATTCCCTGCTTTTTTGAAACTCGTTTCACTCAATCAAATCGTTTGCTTTTCATTTGGATTTTTTTACTTCAGTTAATGATATTTTTTTTGCAAAAATTTCCACAAATTATATTCATCATTATTTTTATAGACTTATAATAGTAGATAATCGATCATTGTTTAATTATTTTTTTATCTCACACACTTTTCATTTTTTCTTTCTTCTTTTAACTATTCAGTCACTGAAAAACCGAGTTACATTCGGGCATACGTTAAATAGCATTGTGGCGTTCGCAAATTTTGGAATATGGTCGAAAAATGACTGACAGATGAGAATGTTTGTGTGTCATTGGCCAAAATTTGAATCCAATAGTGATGGAATAATGACAGCGACATCTTGGCAAACTGTTCAAACCGTCGAATAAATCTGATGAATTTCAATAAAATGTTGCATGTATGTTATTCATTTGCCAAAAAAGACCGACTTCATCGAATACCGCGGAAACCAGCCGACTAACGTTTCTCTACCATAGGCTCCTGTTCATCTAATTAATTATTTCCTTCTTCAATCATTCGTTTCGTTCTTGTGTTTTGCTTTTCTTTCTGTATTTTGTAGTCAAAAATCTCATGTTTATTTAGCTTAAATTCAAGGTAGAGTCAACATGAGTAATTTGACTGTCGACAAGTCTTCATTCCATCATTGATCCATACACTTCAATACAGAACTATCTCTCTTTTGCTTACACATATTTATTGTTACAATTTTTCAAATTATAAATTTTCAAGCTAATTTTTTTTCATCAATTTTTGTTTTCTTCTTGTTTACATTATATTAGCACTTTCGGAAGTGTTGTGTATAGGATTCGTGTTTGTGTGTGTGTGTTTGTGTATTTTGATGGTAAATGATGGTGATGGGATTTACTATCTCATGTATAAATAGTGTCTTAATGGGGCAGGGGCAGGTGCATGCTATCTCCTCTCTTTTCACTGTGTGGAATTGATTTGATGCCGCATATTTGCTTGCCGTGATGAGTTTCTAAATTGAGAAATAAATCAAAAATAGTACAGAACTCCATTGGTCTCAATCGAAAAAAATGGTTTTATGTGAGGGTTGAGAAAACATTTGCGAACGTTAACGGAACGTACCTTTTTCTAAATATTTTTGGTGCGATTGTCATTCGATTTGGAACCAAAATGGCAATGTAGGCACTCTCAGTTTAGTAAATCCATTTCCATTCCGAAATGATGGAGCAACAATACGAACGACATTGAAAAGTTTTGAACAAAAAAAAAAGTTATACACAGATCTATTGCATCAGTATGCCGGTGCCCGTAGCTGAACTACAAAAATGCACAGATGTACCGAGTGTCGATGCTGATGAATCCTGGTAGCTGAACTGTGATAAGAAATTACAAATTAGTTTTCTGACCAGGTCAAAAGAGATTGAAATAACAAAGCAAGTGATCATACTTGTGAAAAATAGGGTTCCTCTTGAATTGCACCCAAAGGCCCTGAATTGTCTGGTGGCGTTAGTTCGACGCTTTCTCCGGTGAATTCAGAGTCAAAATATCTCGTGTCGGTGTCATTAGTGACTTGTGGCTTAAATGGTGGTGTTATTTTCTTATTTTCTAGTTCTTTCCAGTTAATTGAGGCGAAAAATGGGTGAACCATGATTTCTTTGACATCTTCGGGGCCGCCTCCCAGACGATCTTTCGGTGCTTTAGCTAACAATCCACTCAATAAACTGCGGGCTTCGAGTGATAAATTGCGCGGGAACTTCACTTCTTCCACCAAAATGAGGGTGAACAAAACATCGTGATCGCGGTTATAGAACGGCAAACGGCCACACATCATTTCGTACATGACGACACCCGTACCTTTGTTAATGTATGGAGAAAATTAATTTGAATGTCATTTAATTATTTTCACTTTCATTTTGTGCCTGTGTTTTGCAACTTACCCCACCAATCTACCGCCAATCCATAATCATTGTCTTCCAATACTTCGGGAGCTAAATACTCGGGTGTACCGCAAAATGTTTTCGTTGTTGATCCATATGTGATTTCCTCTTTGCACAATCCAAAATCGGCTATTTTGATGTGTCCGTCCTTATCGAGCAGCAGATTTTCCAATTTTAAATCTCGATAAATGATTCCTTGTGAATGTAAATAGCCCAACGCACAAATGATCTCAGCACCATAAAAACGTGTACGATCTTCAGTGAACACACGCTCACGACTCAGATGAAAGAACAATTCTCCACCGTTCACATACTGCATCACAAGGCACAAACGATGTAACGTTTGAAACGAATATTTCAGCGACTACAAGAAAATATTGAATATTATTGAAATGGAATGTTTGGAAGAAAAAGTCTCTCTATCTTACGATAATAAATGGATGTTTTGTTGACCGAAGTACACGGTTTTCAGTTAGTGTGTGTTCGACTTCATCTTTTTGTATGACTACATCTTTCTTCAGCATTTTGATGGCATAGAGTGTTTCAGTGGACTTTTCACGGCACAAAATCACCTTGCCAAATGTTCCTTTGCCCAAGACTTTCAAAAACTCAAAGTTCTCTAACGTCTGTAATGGATCGAAGGTAAGAAATAAACATTAATGCACATTCTAATTGCCAAATAATAAATCTATTTCAATAAAGACACATACAATTTTAGTTTTTCCGCTGGTTTTTCCAGTTGCGATACCCTGAACTGAAAACTTTTCTGAGAGTTCGTCCTCGGCTATGGATGCCATGTCGACGTCAGTCATATCTGTTGAGCTAGATGGTGACATTGCAGTTTCTCCCATTTCGCTGAGTCGATTTGCCACATATCTGAAACAAAGAACCAAAACAAAAATTCATTTTGAGAACTGCAATAATAAAATTCGTTATTTGTCATTAAGATTGAACTCCAAAGCAAACTTACCGAATGGCTTCAACCCATTCTTGCCTCTCTTGTTCACTATCCACATGAAATGTTCTTTCGATGACATTGGCCCATTGCAATCCACGAATAATGAATGTGAATGGTTTTGGGCGATCTACGCTCATTATTTGGCAACCTCTTACAGTGAAATTATTTAGTTGATCAGCCTGATTTGTTCCATCTGGTTTCGATTTGTAGCCCATTAGCGATCCATTGTCACGCAATATGAAGTAACGTGGTCGCCAATTTTTTATGTGTTCACCGCGCTTATAAAGCCAACCTTCTTTAACAATGGTGGCCTGCGGTCCGAAGCTTTCACTAGTTGACATTTTGTGGTTTATTTTTTCGTTTCGTTCAGAACGACGGCGGCGGCGGCTGTTGCTGCTGCGCTGCTACACTTACAATGTTCCTATAAAGGAAAAACAAACCAAGTTTAGTAATAAATAAAATTTAAAAAAACAGTTCAAAGAAAATAGTACAAAAATATTCAGTCAGCTATAGAATTCGTCTATAGAATGTTCTGGAATTCTATTGTTTACAATACATTCGACGTGATTGTTCAAATGTGAATCCATAAAACTGACCACAACATTTGTGATGTGTTGGGCTAAAATGCTGAATGAAAGCCAATAACAACGGATTTGTTACAATCGTATGTTCAACTTTAATGGTAAATTGATTCATGGCTTGTCCGTCAGATATTATTTCCGGCAAGAATGTGTAACATGTGTAGACGACGAATTTTAAGTGTAAGCTGTGCACTTCGAATATAAATCAAAGACATATTTTACGAAATGAATATTGAAATGTCACTATAGATATGGCTGTAGTCTTTTAAAGGAAAAAAATATATGCCAGAAAGTTGTAGAACTTTTATAGTGACACTTGATCGTAAATAAATATTTGTTGGATGATCAACAATTTTTTTCTAAAAAAAAACATTCATAAAAAGATGAATTTGCAATTTTATTGCTTTCTGTTTAATTAAAAACTATAACAATTTGAAACCATCCAATCCATTGTATTTACATACATTTCCTTGCATACAAATTACCTACTAATTATAAATTACATGGAATATAGTATGAAGGATAAGTGGTTTTTAGATACAAAATAAAACTATCCCGTAAAATAACGATCCATGCAAAACATATTGTGGCATTAAGCTAATGTCAACAATAAAGTGACCTGACTGCAAAAAATATATTTTTGAAAATTCTTTTTTTTGTCTGAGAACATTTAGCAAATAATTTGCATTGAGTAATGGAAGAAAATCGAATCGAACGTTATATTTTCCAAACAAAGTTCACATAACGAATCCACTTTTTTGCCATGGAATTTGTATGTTATGTGAATAACAGGGCAACCAAAAATATTTATGAAAAAGTCCAAAATATTTACCAAAATATTTAAAATATTTACATTAAAAACCATTATATTTATTTCGATGAAAATAATAAATTTTTGGTGTTTTCCAAGGAAAGTATGTTGATTAAAGACTAATTAAAGCTATTACAATAAATTACGACACACACTTTCAAATTTAAAATTCGAAATTTTCGAATGAAAACGAACGACTCGTACACATAGTTCTGTGTGTTGTAGTGGTCAACAAAGGATACTAGATTTAAAAATCGATTGCTAAAGTGAAATTTTGTGCTCAGAAAGCGGTGACGAATGACGCAAGTTTGCGATACATTGATTTCGAAGACAAAAATAATGAAATTATTGACATGCACAGTCTGAAATGTGATGGAAATAATTATTCATGAAATCTCCCAAAAATAGCGAAATATTTATAAATATTTTTTTTCGGCAGATTGGACGAAATATTTAAAAAAAATATTTCATATTTTCGTAAATATTTTTGGTTGCCCTGGTGAATAATAATTTTGCTCCTGATTTACTCAATTTGTGCTAAAAATAAAAACGTTGTAAATTTTCAAGAATACAGAATTTTGCCCAACAACCAATTCATATATCCCATATGCTCCGCAATACACATCGGCCAAATGTTGTTTTTTTTAAATATGCATCGGAATAAAATAATAAAGCAAACACTCGCTCAAGTCGCTGACAGCGCATGAAGACAAGTAGTTTGTGGTGGATAATCAAACCTTTGGGTTAATTTAATATAGCTGAGTCGTCGTCTAGCGTCGTTCTGAATTATTTTTACGATTTAAAATAGGTTTGGATTTTGTGTGAACGGTGGCGTTTCCAAATCAACGATGTCACCATTTCATAACCGTTGATGTGATCTCTCACGTACGCACATAACAAGCCAACGAACTCTCCTGCCCAGCCAACTCTATACCTTTTGTTTTCAACCAAATGAACAAATTCCTTATTCATTTCGAGTAGCGTTAACGAAGCAATGTTAACTGTTGTACCAACGAAACAACGCTGTTGCGTATTATTGACTGTAGTATCATTTTTATTTGTATTTTGTCACGTACACATACCAGAAGTGGAGTGGTTCGGAAAAGAACGGAAAAATTTCAAATGAAATGGGATAGCTATATAGTTCATAATAGTTTACTATACAGTTTACTATATAGCTATCCCTTTTCCGCTCAACTTTTCTGTATTACATTTTCGCTCCAAACTATTCAAATAACATTGGTTCGCATTCAATGAATTGTCATTGTTGTTGTTGGTAAAGAACGAGGAGAACGGTTGTATTCTTGACAACTTTGACATTTTGATGTACACACACACATAAAAACGTATGGCGGATTGAAAAACGTCAGCAATGAACTCAACTATCATTTGGTGTAGCAAGTTCATTGAATGTGTGAACGGGTGGCAATATTCGATGACTTCAAAATCATATGAAAAACCACACAATTGTTGACAGTGCAAACTCACGATTTTTTCGAAATATTTCTTTGGAAAACAAATCGTGGATGAAGCCTAGGCTTTGCAGAGCCCGAATATCAACAATAAAAGAAAATAAATGAATATAATTCCCAAACAAATAATGTATATAAAATGTATGGCGTTTACAATCTCACCACTGTTCACCACAATCAGTCAAAGCATTAATGTGAATGACGCATGACAAAGTGACTTTGACAGCACACGCATATGAATTGTTGTCATGTTTACAGTCGGAAACGTCAATGCAAAATCTCCAGTATCCAGTTTCACTCTACTTTGAGGATAGATGAAAACCTACACCACATTCAAATAGAAAATAATTGAATATTTTGTAGTTCATGGTTTCGTAATCGATTAGTCAAAAACGATTCACCCAAAGTGACTGGGGCGTCAAGAATCAGCGTGACAATTTGCGAATGGGTTGTATAATCGAAATATTAATTCAGTGGTGTCAATAAATTAACTGTACGCCATGGGAACCATTGAGCAAAATTAATCAACATCTCTTTAGAATGGATGGCCATGTACAATTCAGTCGTAAAAATGTTTTATTATGAAACCAAATACTATAAAAAATGAAGCGCCATAAAATATAAACAAACAATTTAATTGAAATTAACCAAGAAAAATGTTCCCTCCTGGTCACACTCAGTCGGCGAGCGAAGTATGTTCTACATAAATGGTAGTTGTTTCGGCAAAAATACATAAAAAAATGCTTGAGTCGAGTGCGTCATACTTTATCTTTCAAAGCTATACAAAGCCGTTTTTTCAGTTAAAAGAAAAAAAAACTCGTAAAATGTGAGTTCTGATTATTATCAGGACGGGCAACGAGCAATATGCCTTATGCCTTATGGTGTTCATTTCTTTTGACTCTAAATTATGTGAATTACGGTAAAATGGTGCTCTTTACCATAGCCTTGAAAATGCTTATCTTGCTTTAAGAAAATGTATGAAGTGTACCAATTACGAGGGGCAAATCACTCTTTTTGCAATTACTTCCCAAAAGTTGCAATTACTCTTTTTTTCAGCAATTACCTCAAAATTTACTATTACTTTTCATATACAAGTAATTGCAACCGACCAGTAATTGTTGAAAAATGGAGTAATTGCAACTTTTGGGAAGTAATTGCAAAGAGAGTGATTTGCCCCCCGACCAATTATTTGACACAAAATTTCCATTGGAAATATGTTCGAATGATTGTGATAAGTCGTTTTATTTTTCAATTATGCTAGAACTTATCACAAGCATTTCTTATTTATGATATAGAATATGTTGTGTAAGAGGAGTTATATGTAAAGCCAAAACTATATCTGAATTCAAATGTTTATCATAGATTAAAACAACCTTCAAAAAATACATAGATGTATAAAGAAAGTTTCAATTTTTTTTAAACAATTGATTATTATTCAGTGTTGCTCAAGAAACGTGGAATTTCCAATTGTTTCTATTTTAGCACAATATTACACGGAATTTCTTCGATAAAGATTATTTTTAGTCAGTTCATCAAGAGTGACAAATACGAAAAACCGAATTGATGATTTTTATTCAAATGTGACATTGGTTGAAATTCAATTAGGTTCACTCGAATTCCGTTGCTTTAAATGGAATTCCTTGTATACATTCTGATCACAGTCGCGATTTGCAGTTGAAACGCGTCAACGCAAACAAAAGCCAAAGATAAAACACTAAGAACTAAGAGAAAAGTAAACAAAAAAAGAGTAGAACCATCGACAATAACGTTCAACAATATATTACATACGAATATAAACACATACGCCATTAGTTAGTGGACAGAAGCGAAGCATGCCCAGTACACACACACACACGCACACAATTTCTGGAATGAAATCGACTGCGCTATTTTCTTATTGCGAAAAGAAAATACTTCAGATTTATTGAGACAGAGAGATGCGGCAAAATTGTTATCGCTATCCTGAAATGTGTCGCCGCACACTTATGGTTTTGTTTGTTTGAATCGAGTTCGAAACGCTAGTTGTCCAAATCAAGAAGAAGGAGACTTAATAAATGCCATTCAAACGACAAATATAAACATTGTGCTCGGGTTGTTCACTGTTTCAATTTTCACTGTGTTTGTGTGAAGGAATGTCGCATACAACAAACCCAACAGAGCAATCTTCCTAGAATCGAATCAATGCACATAGAAAATCAGAGAAAAAATCCAATCGGTCGCCGATTTGGGAACATAACAACTCCAGAAAGATTTTCGTTTCGAACGTGCTTCACTTCACATCCACTTGTGCACACAACACACACACACACTCATAAACAACAGCAACAAACAACACGAGCGCTAGAAAACCAGTTACAAACGGAAAGTCCATAAATAAATCAATCGAACTTGATGAAGAAAACCACTGCCTCTACATTACTCAAGTAAGATAATAAAAAAAGGCTAATGATTCCAATACGCAGAAAAAGAGTGCGAGAGTTCAAGCGCAGCAAATTATTCAACATCAGCATTAACAAAGGAAGACCTGCAACATTGTTGCTATCCAAATATTCTTTTC